CTCGCGGCACGACGACTCGAGGTCCAGGGGTGGGTGGTTGGAGGGTAGGGTAGGGGTCCTAGAGACACGGTGCCTCGAGGTCCGAGGGGGGTTAGAAGGGGTAGGGATAGGGTAGGGGTCCTCAAGGCACGACGCCTCGAGGTCCAGGGAGAGGGGGGGTTTTGAGTAGGGTAGGGGTCCTTAATCAATGTACAAATCTTATTTAAATCACAATTTTTTGTATTTTACTTTGTTATATACAAAACTCCTTGAGGAATTTGTGTATATACAAGTACTATCTGCATATTTTTATTTATACATATACAACTTTATATAATAATTACTTTACAATTTTGTACAAATTAAACAATTTATATTCAATTTATTTACATTTATATATAAACTTTATATACATTTAAAAGTTTAGTTTTACGGAAACAAGTTTGTATGGTCTTTTTGTCGCAATAGAATTCCTTTTTGAGAAAATATTTGATTTTAAATGTTTAGCTTAAATCATGAGATTACGTAAAATGTTTGTTACTGTATTTAGGGCTACTGTTATTATTTAATGGAAAAGTAAAATATAGTACAAATTTTAAAAAAAAATATTTTATACAAATTAAAAGCTACATAACAAACTAAACTATACCCATAATGTTATTTCATAAATTCAGTTTGTCATATATAAATTTTTTACATACATCTATTCTTATATTTTAAATTTTAAATTTGAAATTAGTTAATATTATAACTATTAAATATTTACTTATTTCCCACGGATAACAACTCCTAATATTTTTTCATTTTAATGCAAAAACATACTAATACAAATACATATAAAGGTTCAAATTCATTAGGTGGGTATGCACAAGCATCAAAAATAGTTGTGGAAAATTATATCTAACACCGTTTTTCTCTAATTTCGTCCAATTTACTTCAAGATTTAAAAAGTTATATGATTAAGCGTAGACATCTGTTAAGCAAAAGAAAAATAATAAATTAACACTTTGTTTTTGATAAATCTATTAGGTTTAGGGTAAAGCTAAGAACCAAAATTAAATCTAACACCGATTTTCTCTAATTTCGTCAACAAAATTTACTTCAAGATTTAAAAAGTTATACACTTAAGCGTAGACATATGTTAAGCAAAAGAAAAATAATAAATTAACACTTTGTTTTTGATAAATCCGTTAGGTTTAGGGTAAAGCTAAGAACCAAAATAAATACATGTTATTATATATTAAAGATTCTTTCAATCAAGTGAACTATACTAAAGGCCATAATAGAAAATTACGGTATAAAGGACTAATTTGATCATTTTCTCCCATTTGACTAGACAATTTTTTCTCTTAAAAAAAGGAAGACTTTTGAAGTTTGTGGTGAAAAAATAAATTTCAAAAATTTGTATCGGTTATATATCATTTCATTAAGGCTAAATAAAAATTTAAAAGTTAAATTGATTGTAAATATAAAAGCATGGTATTCTTTTTCTGAACAAATTAGAAAGGAAAATATGTTTATAGATTAATACAAAAAATTATGAGATTAATTACGAAAATTCCACCTTTTAGATTACTTATTACCATTATCCTTATAAGTTTACAAATTTTCAAGATCCCTCATTTTCGCGCATTACATTAATGTATCTCGCGCATCAAATTAGTGTATCATGTATAAAATGTATCTCGCGCATCAGATTAGTGTATCATGTATAAAATGTATCTCGCGCATCAGATTAGTGTATTATGTATAAAATGTATCTCGCGCATCAGATTAGTGTATCTCGCACATTAGATTAGCGTATTTTGTGCATCAAATTAGTGTATCATGTATAAAATGTACATCAGATTAATGTAGCATGTTTAAAATGTAATGTAAATCTTACTCAACAATTAATATATCTCGCACATTAGATTAATGTATCAGCGCTTATATTATTGCATCCGTTTTAATATTTTTTTTTGTAATTATAAACTTTCAAGTGATCAATTGATTTTGCCTTTAAAATGATTTATGTAATTTGCCAAAAAATTATAAATATTAAGCCCATTCTAATATGTAACTAGCATAAATATAAAAGATGGAGAGATATACTCCCCGTATATTAAAAAAAAGGATAGTCACTCAAAAATAATTTAATTACGCTCCATAGTTATAATATGCTAATTATAATTTCTAACGACATGTTTAGGGAGGAGAGTGACTAGCAAGATTGAAGAGGGAGAAGAGAGGCGAGAGAGAGGGGATAGAGAGAGGTGAATTGTATATGTATAATGGTTAAATAATTGTATATTATACATATATATTTGTATATTTTGACGAGCAAAATTGAGAGAGGGAGGAGAAAAATAATCGAAAGAAGACAAAAATTTGTATCTTTCGCATCTCGATTGTATAACTCACAGATACATTTATGTAATTCACATATTTTTATATAATTAAATAATATAAAGTTCAAAATTATACAAAATAAAATAAACTTAAAATAACAAATTTACCCAAATGCGACACCTGCAACAAAATCCCCAAGTTTAATTTCGGCGAGTTTCTGAAAATACAGATTTTTCGCCTATAAATGTAACGAACACACGCTAAAGATTACTATTTTTTCTCTGGTGAGCTCATCGTCTCGGTTCAGTTTTTATTTTTTTCCTTGATTCGTCTGTAATTATATATGATTTTATGAAATGGGTCTGGGTATTTTGTACGATTCTTCGAAATGCAACTTTGGATCCATTATCTTGTTTCTATTGATTTTTAATTTGTGATGAAACAGTGAATTTTTGTGGTCGAATTAAGGGTATAATAATTTTGATCGGTTTATTTGAAGGTACATAGCAAGTTGAGAAAATGGGTAGGCTTTTTGTGTTAACTCTTGAAGGACGCATCTACAAATGCAAACACTGTCAAACCCATTTTGCTTTGGCTGATCACATTATTTCTAAGGTTGGTTTTCCCCCTTTCTCTATTTTGGTTGTACTGTGCGGCGCTCTCAATAGGATTTTTTGTCAGGCTTGAATTCGAGAAATCTGGTTAGGGTGGTGGGATCCCAATCATGATTGTGTTATGAATCGGCTGAACTTGAAATGTTACAAGTTTGATGCTTTATTGGAGATGTAATACCATTTGTATGTTACTATTTTTTATTGTATGTTGATATTAATGATGCTTGTAAGGAAAGTGATCTGATCAGAGTGGAACGAATACGTAGGATGCATTGTTGATTGATTTATCATTAGTGTCAATATTGTTTCTTCGTAAAATGTTGTTGTTCTGATACTATGGCTTCAATTCCAGTCTAGTGCAAGTTCCTTACTGATATATATAACTATGTGATATTAAAACCGTATTGCAAATGGAGAAAGAAAGAACTTTTTTTTATCTAGTATAGCTCAAAAGAAAAAAAAAGAACAGGAAAAAATTTCTCTGCCTTGGGAGTTAGGACAGATCGGGATACACAGGGTGCGACCCATGCTCTGGATGAGCTTGTTTGAGATTCAAGGCCAGAAACTCCACATGACCTCTACAGAGCTTTATGTCTGGGGAGTGGTGGGGCGGGAGTGTTAGGTGTGGGAGACTATATTAGTAGTTGCAGTTATTCCTTCGTCTCTTTACAGTTTCCACTCTGCAGGGTTGCTTGATTTTGTAATATGCTGATTATTTCTCCCCCTACCTTGGTTGTTGAATGTCCATTCTCATGTTTTTCTAGAGAAGTATTATGATATTGCATCCCAACAAACGTTTGAATAACACACAGATGTACTTGGCGGGATATTTTTGTATTTATCTTGTAGCCTGTGTAATTAATTTCTCTCTGTCCTGTTTTAAAGTGGATATATTCTGGTTGTTGAATAATCAACCTTTTGGTTTTGTTCCTGAATATCATTTCTACTTTTCTTTTACAAGTGGCAAATAGCTGATTTAAGACTTGACTAGCTATGCTATTTATAAGTTCAAGAATAAAGCTGATGATCACATTATATTTTTAGCTAACTACCATCTGAAATTTTTGTCGATTACTCCCTCCATTTCTTAACTAAATTTTTTGGGACATAGATATTACATTTCCTACCGATGTATCAATTGGCAAATTATGTAGGAATTCAAACGGAACCTTGAAAAGGTATTAGAGAGTATAGGTTTTAGGAGAAGAAGTAAGACAGAATAAATGTACTATAAATTTAGTTCCTATAAGTCGCACAAAGGGAAGGTGAAGTGAGATTAACTAGGAATTTGCTTCCTAAATGCAGATAGTTCAAAAATCAAGGCCAGTCTTTGAGGAGAATGTCTAAAGGCAAGTCCTAATAAAGGGTGTATCACCAACAAAGTCATATGCAAATGAATGTTGGGCTTCAAAAATATATTCAAAATGGCTTATGATAGATATATAGTATTATACAAGATTGGAACAGATTAGAAATGATTACATCATATTGAGGAAACAAGTGGCATTCGTAGACGATAAAATAAGACAAGGTCACTTTGAGATGGTTTGACCATGTTGTACTTAAACTTCCCAATACGCTGATCAACAGGTGTGATATCATAATGATTGAAGGTTCTAAAAACAGACAAGGTAGTATAAAAATTGCAAGCTGCCTAATTGTCTCCAAAGACCCAAAATCCCATAGAATCAATGTTCTTGTTAACACCCGAACAAACTGAAGGAAATGATCCATAAAAATATCAATTAGTTTTGATAAAGGCCTATTTACATTACATACACGAGGTTCGGTGTTTGCTACGAGTCTTTTTGGTTTGGTTGAATAAGTGTATGTCAATGTAGGAAATAAATGTAACATTTATAAAGCTTATAATTTAGGGAACTACTAAGTTTTCTTTAGTATGTTAGTATTTGAATGAAATAAGCTCCAAAAATGAGGAATGGATATAAAGGATTCATACGGTCGACCCAACTAACTTGGGATTGAGGTACAGTTGATAGAGTTATGGTGTTTTTTTACCGACATGTTTAGTATTATATCAATTAAGCAAAAGTGGAATCTTTAATCCAATTCAGAAAAAATAAAGGTTTGGAATTCTATGATATATCAGCCTTTGGTTGGAAAATGAACCAATTTCTGATTTTAATCATCACAAGAATATGGTTATTTCTTATCTATTGATTTTCAGTGGAGTCTGGACATGGAATCCTGTTTGCTCAAAATTATGAATGTCGATTTAGTAGGATTGTGGGAATGTGTTGGCCTTAGAAGGGTTCACTATGAAATGGATCTCACCAGTTTAATCATTAGGTTGGCTTTACATGGCTTATCTCTCTCATAATCTGGACTCTGAAGCAAGGTTTATGTGGCTTGCAGTAGATAGTTACCCAGTGCACAAACCGCTGGGCATAGCCTAGTTCTCTTAGCATAAGGCTTCTACAGAGCTTTCTTATCTATAAATCAGTTAAGTAGTAGATCACCACAAATTGTTGGGTTCTCATTTGTGTCTTTTTTCTCAAAACCTTGACTTTAAGCACTGACATACTGATGCTTCACAATGACAGAAGTCCACTTTGGGTCTTGATGTTGAATTTTTTATGGCACTAGTTGCCATTGTATTTCACATGATACTGCCACATAACCATTCACCCATCCTGTATCAATGGAAGAGTGGTCTGAATTTAATGCTGGATAATTTCTGTAGTATATCCAAGTCATTCTAATACTCAATATCCCTATGTATTAACAGTGAAACTTTGTTATTCTAGCCACGGAAGACAAAATTATGTAAAACATCAGCTGTTTGATATTGTTAGGCAACACGTAACAACCAAAAACAAGTAACTGATCATACTTCTTATACTGAAAATCAATGGTACCTGATGGATCTATGATTCTTGTTTACAAGTTGTGTTTGTAGGTAGTTATTTGATTTTTTTCATCTTGAAGGTTCGCCTTCAATCTTAATGTGTTGGTTCCATTTTTCTATGACGAAGTTTGGATAACTTTCCATTTGTTGTTATCAGTTTTATATAAGGCCCACCAGCATTTCTTGTCCTTAAGCCTAACCGTTTCAACCATTTCAATCTTTTTCTATCTTATTCCAATCTATGTGAGTATTCAACTCGCTAGGTTATTTGGAATATAAATGAAGTTGGGCACTTTCTACTGGGTATACCCTTGAAGAGACCACCTTGAACCAACATGTCCAATGTATTGCTATCTTATTTCTAACTGTGTCGATAGGACTTACTAGGTTATTTCGAATACGAATGAAGTTAAGTCACTTCTAATTGCTATTCCCTTGAAGAAAGCTTTACGGACGCTATTAGTAGTTCTTACTGGTATTATTCCTGGTCTTCTGGATTATGTTGTCTTTATGCTACTAACTGCAAACTGGCTGGAAAACACATTACACTTACATGAGTTCTGATATTTTTGCTTTACATAAATGTATTCTAATGAGCTTGTAAGTTTTCTTACAGTCATTCCACTGCAGTCATGGGAGAGCTTACCTCTTTGATAAAGTGTAAGTGTTCTTTGACTTGTGAAGCTCAAAATTACCTGTCATTTTATATGGAATGCTTTCACCTTCATTAGTGGAGGAAAACTTTAAAGCTATCAGTGATTAAATCTGGCAGTGAATGTTTGAATTATATCAGATCGTGCATCTCCACATTCTCTAATAACTTAATTTTTTGTTGCAATTACTTGAACTACTACCAACATAATCTACTTGAGGTCGCAACAGTCTTTGTAGTGGTGTTATGCATCAGAGTAAGATTCACATTTCTCAGATCTATATTGGGGATAGGCATAGTAGACAGAGTCATTACATGCAATGCTTTATGCTTTACACTTGCAATATTGTGTTTTATGTGTTGCTCCTTTTTTGTGCATTGCAGCGTGAACGTAACAGTTGGAGCAAAAGAAGATCGGATGATGATGACCGGAATGCACACTGTTGTTGACATATTCTGTGTGGGGTGTGGCTCAATTGTGGGCTGGAAATATGTGAGCTTTCTCTTCACCAAAGATCTGATTTTTATCTCTCTTTTTCTGATCTTTAGTTACTCTGATATTCTTACGTCAACTCTCAACTAATTCCCAGGAAGCTGCACATGACAAGACTCAAAAGTACAAGGAAGGGAAATTCATTCTTGAGAGGTATCTAGTGTGCTTTCGCGTTTTAATGTGGCATCATGGTATTCCAAGAGTCTAACTATCCTGTATTTTGTACTATTAATCTATAGGTTTAAGGTTGCGGGTCCAGATGGAAGCCTCTATACAGTAAGCCATGATGATGAGCTTGGAAGCGATGATGAACCTTAACTAGCCATCCTACCATATCATTACTCATCCCTTTAGTCAAATCTCGCTTTTCAACTGTACATACTCTAATTTCCTCCCCTGTTGGCATAAGCAACCTCGATTTTCATATTCTAACCTGTAATAGCCAAGTTTTACAGGATACTCTTAGAACGGTCATCCTTTTCGTCCTAGACAATTCGAATTGGAAAATTAGCTCTTATACTTGTTTTGACAGAAGTGAAGTATTCAGTAGTAGGTTGGTTCAAGCAACCAGAAAGTGTAATTTCAGTATTTTGACTGAAGTTTTTGCCTGATCTTGATCACACTGCCAACCACATTTAGGTACATAAATTGTCGGCGGACACGCGGTCTCTTAGGTCACATCTGTAACTGCCTTGTACCCAGCTGTTACCAAGGAGGTCCTCTGGACTCATATTGCTGTAAAAGATGGAGGTTAGTAAGTAGCCAAACTGGTGTAGAAGAGGAACCCAAGAAATATAAGTAATGGTAAAAGTGGAGAAGCATTTGATAGTTGATACCATGTCAAATATATGGTTAATGTGAGTACCCTATAAGAAATGAAAAAAAGAGAGTATTAATTATTTATTGTGTGATATTTCTGTGAACATTACCACATGGGACTTGCGCATCTTCATTCAGTGATGAACAAAATGACCCAACTTTGGATTCATAACATATATCTACTCAAATCTAGCTGTGTACAGAGATTCAGTGATGAACAAAATGACCCAACTTTGGATTCACAACATATATTTACTCAAATCTAGTTGTGTACATAGATTCAAGTTTTATTTGCACGAAAAATAAACAATTCAAAGGTGTTAATGGTACGATTAAAAAACAAGTTATTTATGTATTAATGTTCATAAAACTTAATACGATGGTTGATAGGTAGATAAGAAAAGAGTTATTTTTGTGTAAAATTAATATGATATTTGGTATACAGTTTAAAAATTCACACTACTAATATACATGTATAAAGTATGAGGGAATCTATGTATTATTTTATGCAGGATTAACCTTACTCAGTGTTTACATCAAACCAATGAATGTACGACACATATTGAGACATACACAACTTTCACTTATCAAGATTAATTAATAAAAAAGTTATTTACTATTAAATTACATAACCACGATAAGTTATACTTAACTAAGTGATTACTTTTTTGTATTATAAAAAAACAACACCTGGCATTAAGTGATTGGTTTTTGTACTAATTAATTAATAGTTTACTTATAAAATAAAGATACGCGGAAATTGACAAATATTCCATACGTCTTAGGTAGCTGACCACTTCCTCAAACATTTAAGTTAAGAGTATTATATGTATTTATCAAAAGTAGGACAAAACTGAGAGTCAGTAGTATAAAAAATGATGAATTTATAATATTACAGTCAATTTTATATATTTTAACGCGATTACTTATTATTATTAGATGTGGCCTTGATTTTGACCTTTAATTTTGCTTTCATTAGTGCACGTCTCTTTCTCCTAAAGTCACCACAAAAGACTTCTTATAATTTTCTTAAAAATCAAATTAAAAGAGGGATTAGAACATATAGTTCAATGATATATTCTTACGGTAGAGTTCTAGATGAAGGGTGGTGATTAAACTATTTTAATAATAATAATCAGTTGTAAGGTGTAATCGGATGCTTCACAATATTTTATTATGAACGTATAAAAATGAGATGGTTTGAGCATCATACAGAGTATTAGACGCACCGACATTCTAATGAGGAGGTGAAATATGTTGGATATTGTGGGTAAACAGAGGGGTAGGGATAAGCCTAAAAAGTGTTGAAGAGATATGATTAGACATAAAATGACACAAGTTCATATTATCGAGAACGTATTAGGATAGAAGGCTAGAAGAGGTAGATGTTGTCTAACCGTGTTGAAGTTTACTTCCTGACTAATCGTGGCCGTATTTTGTTTATTGCATTTCAGTTATCACATTATTTTGTTGTTGTTACTATTTCTCTCTTATGCTTTGTCCATTGTATTCGTCTTTTTTTTATAGGAGTTTGTTATACTTGAGCCGAGGGTTTTTCGAAGCAACGTCTCTACCTTGCTCTATGAGGTACTGACTGACAAGGTCAGCGTATACTTTACTCTCCACAAACCTCACTTGGTGAGATTTCACTGGGTATGATATTATTATATAAAAATAATCTCCAACTTATATATATAATATAATTTTTGAAAAAAAATGTTTAACCGATCACTTTACCACATATAATATTATTGAAATTTCCGACAATAAATTTTTGCCACCAACATGTTCTGATTGATATTTTCTATTAATGATATAATTATATGAAGAGAATAATAGTGAAAGTTTGTAAATAAATTAAAGAATGCGGTAAGTCAAGTAAAATCAACCCAACTGATATTAGAAATTTTGAGACACATTTTTATGGAATGTTAAGAATAAGAAAATAAAATAAATATTCTTTAAAGATATGTAGAAAAAAGTGACTCAGTCAAAATTTCTCCATTTAGAATGTTATATTTTCTTTAATAGAAATGGAATTAAACGGGTGTTCATACTTAGACTTGTTCCTAATTAATTTGTTTAGTTCTTTAATTGATCTTCCTCATTTCTGTACGTTGAAAAATGTTATAAGTACTAGCCACTAATTAGTCATAATTTAAAGTAGATCAATGTATGAGAAAATCATATAGTATCTTCTTAATTACTTAATTAATTAATTAATTAACTAATCCTGTTGAATATGTCTCCAAATGGACAGTCAGATAGTTAATTTGTTGGGTTTGAAATATTGTATCATTAATTTGAATTTCATGGTCTCTTTCTAAGTGTTGTAGGTCAAATAGTAGGTTCTTTTTTCTCAAAAAATGAAGTGAATTTTTTTGACAATTTTCTTTTTTCCAAAAAAGAAAGGTAATTTGAAAACTTTGAATTTTTTCCTTTTCAAGTTTTGAGAAGTTTGTGTGTCAACGCGTATAGGTGGAAAAGTGCACAAATATCGAGTATTTGTATCTGAAATTTGGTATGATTTGCTAAGGTTAATTTCTAATATTTATAGTGTAAGTTAAACATTAATTAAAACTTTAATCATGTGTGTTTGAAGTACGATTAAATATTCTTAAACAAAAGTTTTTCCTGAAATTTGGTCATACATGAGTGAGGTGCATGTAAAGCAGGTTATAATTTTGTAACGACCTGGTAGTCGTTTTGAGCAGTAGAGTTTATTTTTGGTAGTAACTGTCTGGGTCGACGGATCCCACGACGGATCGTCATGGGCACGACGGACCGTCGATGGGGTCTCGTTCCAAAACACTTAGATTCTGAAAATTTGGATACTGAGAACAACTCTCTGAACTTCGCGACGACATGGCAGGACGGACCGTCGTGGGCACGACGGACCGTCACAGGCCCTTTGGTGACATTCAGTCTTTGAATTTTGTGACGGAAGCAGCAGGACGGACCGTCGCAGGCACGACGGGCTGTCACAGGCTGCGTAACCCTGACTGGGTCGAATTTCTGTTAAATATTTTTAAGGGGCGTTTTGGACTATTCTTGCTTATAGTTATAAAGTTAGTGGTTTAATGTTAATAATTCAATTACTTGGGGGTTAAAGGAGACAACCTTGGAATAAATAGTGGGTTACTTTTACCATCTTTTCTACTTAATTATATGGTAATTAGGGTAAAAAAAAAGGGGTTTGAATAAGGAAAAAATAGAAAGAACAGAAGAGGAAGAGAGAACGAGCGAGAGAAAGAGAAGAACACAGCTTTGGGAAAGTAGATTGCTTGATCACGATTCTTCGGTGGAGGTAGGTTATGGTTTATGCTATTTCATAGTAAACTCTTAATAGCGAATGATATGTATTGGGTAGTATTGTAAAGTCTTCTATATGCTTAATTGTGTGCTTGCATGATGTGATTATGTAATTGTGACGAATTAGCATGATGAGACTGTTGAATCTTAAACCTTAAAACCTCTTTGTTAATGATGATGCCTTGGTATAAAAGAAGGCTTGATGAACTAAAAGAATGAGGTTAATGGATGGGGTGTCACGAACCGACACATAGTATTAAGGGATCGGGTGCCACGAACCGACACATAGTATTAGGAGATCGGGTGTCACGAACCGACACATAGTATTAGGGGATCGGGTGTCACGAACCGACAATAGTATTAGTGGATCAGGTGTCACGAACCGACACATAGTATTAGGGGATCGGGTGTCACGAACCGACACATAGTATTAGTGGATCGGGTGTCACGAACCGACACATAGTATTAGGGGATCGGGTGTCACGAACCGACACATATTATTAGGGGATCGGGTGTCACGAACCGACACATAGTATTAGGGGATCGGGTGTCACGAATCGACACGTAGTATTAGGGGATCGGAGTGTCACGTTCCGACACAAGAGGAATAAAGAGAATGAATCTTGAATTATCTTAATATACTCAAACTTAAAGAACCTTTTTCCCAAATGAGTATGGTGTGGAGGCTTGAGTCCTCATAGATGTGCTTAGGTTGTGGCCAATGGTTATGGTACTTGTCGTTGTTATCTGTTGAGTATTGTAGTTGAGTTTATGATATGATTCAATGTATATTGCTTTCTATTTTGAGTTGGCCGATGATACCTACTCAGTACTTGTGCCTTGTACTGACCCCTACTTGTATGTTTCTTTCCTTGTTATTTGTGGAGTGCAGCAAACGTGCCATCGACTTCGACTCAACCGCAACTCTAGCCAGACTTCAGCATAATCAGATTTCAGGGTGAGCTATTGTTCCTAGCTCGGACTGGATTCTTTCCTTTGCGTCTTGATGTCTTGAAGTTTCGGACATAGACTATCTCTTTTACTGATTTTAGCTTCTTAGATACTCTTAGATTTAGTAATTTCAGGATAGATGTTCTTGTGATGATGACTTCCAGGTTTTGGGGATAGTAATTGATAAATTTTAGAAGTTATTTATTGATTTCGTTAATGAGTTTTAAGTCTTCCGCATTATATTCTGTTTCTTATGGTTGAAATGTTGGGGTTTAGATTGGTTGGTTCGCTCACATAATAGGATAAGTGTGGGTGTCACTCGGCTCGTTTTGGGTCGTGACAAACTTGGTATCAGAGCATTAGGTTCGTTGGTCTCATCACACAAGAACGAGTCTAGTAGAATCTTGAGGAACGGTAGGGGGACGCCTTTACTTTCCTTTGAGAGGCTATAAGACTTTAGGAAAATTCCATTCTTTCCTTCTTTCGTACTATTACTTGGATCCAATTGGTATCTAGGTGATAAAAATTG